TCCAACACTCAAAAAAAAAAAAAGAACAATGAAAATTCCAAAAGTGCGGTCCATTGTATCTCGAACCCTGAGCGATAACCGTTCGTCCTGAAGCACACACACAGGCTTAAATCACTGGTAATTGTAGCCGAATTGACTCCAACCCCCATCGCTCGTTCGTCTCCCCGGAACTTCCACGGGCGTAGAGTAGGATGTTCGCCCTACTCCCGGCGGATGAATTTCAACTGTTTCCATTCAATTATTTTATTACCCTGATCCAATTTCCAATACACCTACGTAAGAACATATGAGTTCAAGCTACCTTCTCGGATATAGACCGGCGGCAAGCGAACGACGCCTGGAATGGAAATGGGATATTTTCGGGCAACCGAATGTGAATCGATAAGCTTCAACCGTGCGGGCATCCGAGGTTGAGTGTAGAATTCCACTGTCCAACGATCCGGGTCGGTTTAGTCGCCTTCTCCTGGCAGCAATCCCAGAATAAAAAAAAAAAAAACAACACAATGGGACTCGAGCCGTGTGTTCTAATGCGATTAATCGAACCGTTCGTTAGTCGAGTTGACGATTGATTTCGTTTTCTTTTGCTATTCAGTCGTACGCGTTGAAAATGGTCGAGTGAGGTTTTTCTAATCCGATCGAACGTGTGATTTAAGGTGTGCATTGTCATCTGGTTGGGCTCACACGCCGGGAAGTTGACAGGTTTCCTCCGCATTGATCTCCGGATTACGGCTGTAATTTGATGGGCTCAATGAGTTCGACCAGGGCTAATTTGTTGTTCTTTTACGTGTCATTACTAATTTTTGGCTGCCAGGTTTGAAAACACAAGGAAAGTAGGACCGAAACAGGTTGATTTCATTTACAAGAATGCTGATTGGTATCCAATCAAATCGCAACAAATCGAAACGAATTACATTCTTATTGTTAAGACTAGTCATCATTAGCAGCAACGTGACTCCACTGCCTTGACCTCTTAGGTCTGCCTCTGTTGTTATGTCCTGTTGGATTATAAATAATTGTTTGATTGCAGATTTCGTTTCCCACCCTTTCGTTGTGTGTGGCGGACCCACCTTCACTTGAGTTTTCGAATTTTTGTCGATATCGGCCTCTGATGGCTCAATATTCGAGATCCAGTTGATGAATACCTGCAGCCTTCTCGTGGTCCCTGCTGGTGTATAACGACACAGATTTTACGTTGGAATAGAAAACCCGGATTTTGGGTGGGAGTTACTTTCTGGATTCGCCTCAATAATTTCATGAGACGCTTATAGCGTATATAGTATTCCTTTGAAATTGTCTACATTGAATTCTTGGATTTTTTCGTAGACTCCTTTTCTAATCCCAGAAAAACCTTGGAATTCTCTATACAATTATCATCGTATTCTCAGTTCAACATATTTTTTTTTTTTAATTCCCTTTGAATGTTCCTCAGAACGTACTTGGTAAATCCTGTAGAATATGGAATCCTGAAAGTTCTCCTAGGAATTCTCTAGAAGTTTCCTAAAGAACTGATCAGAATTATCGAAGAATTCTCTTCATAATGTTCTTTTCTTGTTCTTTGCGCAAAATTCCCTTGGAATTGACCTCAGAATTCTCAGGAAATTCTGCTCAAAATTCCCTTAAGATTCTCTATGAAATTTACATGGTGCTCGCTTTGAAATCCCTTTTTTTTCCTCTGTTCGGGACATAAATCCACTGCGACCAATTATTTGATCTATTGTGGTATACCCAGTGTCCTTTGTTTAGTGCATGTCGTATTACTCCATCACTATTGAGAAATGAAGAAGTAAGCGGTTTTGATACAGTTGTCATTCTTGCATTTATTGCAAGGATCCGACTTTAATTGTAAGGTCCCGCTCTTTATATCCTTTGGAGTGTTGGAACACCCTCCAAAGGCGCGCCTCTTTTGCAGTCAGAAACGTATTCCTCAGCAACAAAATCAAGTAATAACACCGATAATGACCATGCATCAGAATCCTAGTCTTAACCACTTCAAACTGGAGAACAGCGAATAAAATATTAGGAATCACGTAGATGAAAAATAAGTTAAGTTAAGTTTCCTTTTTTTCTTGTTTCAAGATCATCCTCGGTGGACAAAGCCGAATCTTTCCACTATCTTGAGCTTGAGCTTGAGCTTGATTGACCGCCCACGGTTGCTACTCTGTTACTGCCAGATCAGCTGTAATTACACAGAGAACCAATAGACGATGCTTGGGACTAGCAATCATCCTCAATGTGTAAAAACTGGTGATCTTAAGAGGCAATACCAGCGCCGGCCGCGCCCGAACACAGGTCAAGAAAGGAATGGGAAGGATTGTGTTGACATGACACTCGCTTTGATGGAAGCCGAGAACACCTCTGCACTTCCACAAGGAATCACTGGGATGTTGGATAAGATGGTTGGGTTTGCAGCAGGGTTCGTTTTGGTAAACGATAAGCTGAATTGATGTCCTAACGATCATATAACGCGAAAGAGCTTGGGACTAAACCCACGGTCTTCTGCTCAGTAAGCAAAAACGTTTGCCACTAGGCAGACGAGCACCTTTTTAATCACCGAGTTGCTGTTATTACCATGTAGTCATATTAACAAATAAAACGATTGACGAATCTTGAATGTGGATGGGCCTAAGATTAGACTCATGATGTTCTGCTCAGTAAGCAAAAACGGTTGCTCTAAGGCCACCGAGCCCCTCATATCACATAATACCGTTGCTCAAATTTGTGTAACCATTCAAACCCGGAACCAACGAAAACAACGAGTTTCGCAAAATACACGATACACAAGCGATTTTACCATAAATCTCTTTGATATGTAAGGACCTGGGACCGCGTTTTTCTGCTCAGTAAGCAGGCCACTGTAACCGACGATCTTTCAAATCCGAAAACTAAAAACTACGAAAAAGTACTTAGGCCTTCATTAAGTTCCACTTTCACGCGACGTTCAATGACAGGGTCCAATCCAGGATTACATCTGAAAAATCCAAATCTGGCCAACGCCCACCCTAAACTTAAACCTGTTCTAATCCACCTGAAATGACTAACGAATGGAAGACTTTGACTACCCAGCCATGCAATAGTCTCATTCCGTGCCTTATGGCAACTTGATGATTCTATTGCGCTCATCTTTTGGCACCACTTAGGGGAGACTTGGTCCTGTACCCAATGCTTAACTTATCTCCATTCCACTCAGCTACTCGCAATTTCTTGTGATATAGTGGGTGGAATATTATTATATGAGACAATTCAATGATAATTTCCCATTGCAGACGCCAACGAAATGACGTCATCGAGCTATCGATCAACTACCCTGGTTATCGCCTGGTACCTTATAGCACGATGCTAGAAGGCGAACCGGAAGAATCGATGAGCTACCTCTCCCTCCGAATCTTTCCACTATCACCAAGGCATACAAAGTAAAAAGGACTAAGATGTGTTCCTTTGATTACAAAACAATTTTGTTCCCGTAGTTTGAAGTAATTCGAACCAGGCTTCGATGGTAGATCTTAATGTCAGTAACGCACCACGTAAAGGTAATCTACCAAGCGTTAATGGGCTTGAAATTCCCTTTACACACTCCTTAGAATTCTTTGCTGAGAATAATATTGCTTTGGAATGTTTCTCGGAATTCCTTGGTACTCTTTTCAAAATTCCCCATGGAATGCTACTCAGAATTCCTCAGGAAAGATACTCAATATTTCCTTTGAATCCTTGGTATCAACCCAGAGATTCCTATAAATTCCCTTATAATTCCTTATAATTAACTTTGTCAAGCAGTTTTGGTGTGACTTTCTACCAGCGATTTCACAAAACTGGACCAACTAATTTCTATCTTTTTTTGAAACGCACAAATGTTGGCTACTTTTCTCGTGGTTCTAGAAGAAAAAATCTTAAATTAATGTTTTATTTCAAAGTTCGAGTGATAGTAAACGTCATTTTAACTGCTCGAATGAAGTGGGTAATTCTTCTAAAAATGCCCTTGCGACTATCTTCAATGGTTTCGATTGATAAACATTTTAAAGATTTTTATTTCTGGATCCCCTGTACCCTGCTGCTAAACGGACGCGAACATTTTTCTGTTTTCAAATTGTTCGTCTATGAGACGCTCTGCTACTTGATAACATGTTTCTAGAGAAGAGTGCGAGTGCAGGATTCTATTCTAGCTTTAAGCAGTGGAACACTTTCGTCGCAATCTCCATCGATGTAAGCAACTTAACCGCTTCTCGTCAAGATCGTTCACATTGAGCACCTCAAACCGTGAATCCGTGTTGTCCCGGTCTACTGCCAGGTATTCATCGTTGATGGCAAACATACTTTTGAATATAAAAACCAATAAATGATCCATACAATATTGGAAAACGGTCCATAAAAAACATCCAAATGGTCCATAAAACAGCGGAGAAAATCCTTAAAAAAGTGTGAATGATCCATAAAAAATATCAATATGATCCATATTTAATGTAAAATTTAGCAACAGAATTGAAAAAATGTACCGCTAAATTTCTAAAGAATGAGCATTGAAATAGTACGAATTACCCATAAACATATTGCAATTGATCCATAACACATTCAGCAGTGAACCTTAAACTAAAGAAAATGATCCAAAGAAAATCAAGTTTGCACACTTAAAAATATAGGTATGATCCATACATAGACGTATATCATTCATGTTTAGGACACTACTGCTTTAGAAATTTAGCAATTGCAAAATTTAGCATTTTTACAATTGCGTTGCTAAATTTTACATAAAATATTAATAATATTGATAATTTTATGGATCATCCACACTTTTTTCAGGATTTTCTCCGAGGTTTTATGGATCAATTGAATGTTTTTAATGGAACGTTTTTCAATATTTTATGGATCGTTTTATCAATTCTAAAGGTGCATACTTAGGGCTGTCATCGTTGATCACCGTAGCCATTTTTTATTCCCGCAGAGTTCTAGCGATTTCAACAGCAGCAGCTTGGGACAGTGGTTGCAGATTTCAAATGCCATTATTGTAAATGCGTTTCGATGTTGCCTTTGCCGAGTTCTTTGCCAAGCTTTTGCTGCAGCAGTCGGAGGAACTTGATCGCATTTTGAAAGGTTGCTCAAGTATGTCCAGTATCAGCTTGTCCAGCTGGGGTGGCGTTAGATCATGGATGGATGGATGGATTTTACTGATTGGTTGTGTTGTTCCTTCAATTGGCGACTCCAGAGCCTAAAACCTCAATATTATCATCAATTCAGCATGAGGCAATAATGTTCCATCAATCTGTGTATAAAAACCAACACAGCACGTTCTCCAGCGCTATATTTGGGTAATATGAGAATAATGATTTTGCATTTGATCCTCAAAATCATCCCCGCCAAGATGAAGATGAATGTTGATATTGACATGACAACAACACAGGCGACAACAAACCAAGACCAACAATTGAAATAGCCTTAACTCCATTTTGTAAACAAACCTTGTAAGGCCATTTTCTCGCTAATCTAATCTAATCTCTCAGCGGTGCCGGTGGTGTAGTGGTAAGCGTGATTACCTCTCACCCCAGCAGGCCTGGGTTCAATCCCAGTCGGCGTCGCCGGGATGTTCTGAGGCATAACATCTCTGATCACGTCTTCCTTCGGAAGGGAAGTAAAGCCGTTGGTCCCCAGTTCATGAGTTGATGGATCGATAGGTAGGGTCCAGGTGTGGGAGCTGCCTCCCTGGCGTTGGTAGCATTTTGGTGCTCAGCACGGAAAACAAGATCGACGGAAAACAAACAAAAGAAAAAAATAATTAAATAATCTAATCTCCTAATCTAACACCAACACAGCCAGTTCTTGAAAGCATCCTGGAAAACGATGGATATACTTCCATAATTTTTCTTGTCTATTTGATATATGTTTCACATCAAAGATGCGTCACACATATCAAAACGGCCAGGCCTACTGTGCAGCATTTAAGGGGCAAGATGATTCAGAAAACATCGGGCCTGTTCGAAGATTTAAACACGATACTTCAGAATCCAATAAATGGATGAAACGTGGACATCTCGTACCGTACGTTCCGATTTTGGTAATTATATGATTGGTTGTTTGTTAGAAGAATCAAAGCTAGAAAGGTTAAGTGATGCTCCATTTTCTTCTGACAGTGACTACTTCAAACTAGTGGAACAGGATTTTTCAGTAATTCAAGGAACACATCTTAGTCCTTGTTACTTTTTATGCCTTGTTGATAGTGACAAGACTCGGCTTTGTCCACCGAGGATGACTTGAAACAAGGAAAAAAAACTGAGTTAGTTGTCTTCATCTATGTGATTCCTAATCCTCTATTCGTTGTTCCCTAGTTTGAAGTGATTAAGACTAGGGTTCTGATGCATGGTCATTATCGGTGTCATGCCTTAATTGTGTTACAAAGGAATCCAATTTTGACTGACAAAGGGGCGCGCCTTTGGAGGGTGTTTCAACACTCCGAAGGGTATAAATAGCGGGACTTTTCAATTAGAGTCGGATCCTTGCGATAAATGCAAGAGTGGCAACTGTAAAAAAATCGAATACTTCATCATTTCTCAATAGTGATGGAGTAATGCGACATGCACTAAACTAATGATACGGGATATACTACAATAGATCAATTTACTGGTCGCATTAGTGTTAGGTCCCGAACAGAGGAAAAAAAAATGATTACCCTGAAAAGAACCTATATGAATTTCAGTTGGGACATGTTCAGATATTTAACTCTTTTGGAAGATCTTGGTGGCCCTGAAAAGTGCCGATGATAGCACAGACTTAAAGTCTTTGGAAGATGATGATGACGTGTAGGCAGCAGGATCAGCAAATCGGACCGGACAATCCCATATTCTTCGGTTCAATCATTGAGCACTCGCAAGAGTCTCGGCCCGTCTGGGGTTGAACTGGTGTCTGCGACAGGTTGGAAGGCCGCAGAATATCAGTGTCCACCCAGCTAAAGCTCCTCTCCTTTTAAGTTTTTCTCGTTTCTCACCTTTGCCTTTAACAGAAAGACGCTTAACTCTTTTTTCGGCGAATTGATGATCCTGTTTCACGTCATGGTTCTATGCCTGTTCAGATAAATTAGTACTTTTATTTATTTTCTCTACTGTGCAAAATTAAACGAGTAGAAATAAGAAGGGATGATGATACTACAATAGATCAAATTCCTGGTCGCAGTGGATTTATGTCCCGAACAGAGGGAAAAAAAAGAAGGGATGTCAGCTACGCGCTCGAATAATTGAAAATTTGGTTCTGGAAAAATAGCTGGAAAAATATGTACGATTAATCGTTAATCGAATAATTGGACTTGTAGGCATCCCTAGAAAATAGTGCAATTTCATGTTTTTCGTGGTCCTTCGAAAATGTCGAACAGCAGAATTGTAACCAGCAAGTGTAACCCAAGAACTAAAAGCGGTGCGATGCTAGTTTTCATTGCTATGACGACGACTGAATTGAGGGGCTTAGAAGCACAGGGGTGAAAGTCAATTATCTTCATCGATTTCCTCTTGTGATGACCATGGCTTCACTAACCTATTTTGCAGTATTTCTGCCATGCTCTTCTATCATCCAGAACAACAAACGTATCAATGAATGTGTTTGCCGTCGAGTAATCAACAGAAAGTTGATGAAAAGAATCGCTCAAAATCACTTGCACCCCTGCTCCAAGTTTGGTTACAAGATTTCAACTCTGGAGAGCATTGTGTGTGGTCGTTGTGGGCGCGTGGTTATGAATATGGCGATGAGTGTGCACAATTTTACGCAATTGCATCCTCGCTATTCGCACACACCCGAAGATCGGAGGCGGATACCACTTCGACTTGTATCGTATACTAACGGCTCTCTGATGACAGTGTTGGGGAAGCAGCAATGCTTCATCGACATGTTTCGTCTAGAAACGATTTGCTGATTACTGTGTTGGGGAAGCAGCATATGCATGTACGTAATTGGTGGATTTGTTAGTTATTTCGACGCTTTTGGATGATGCTTGACATTTACCATAAATTCAATAGTTTCTTGTTGAAAATCATCAGTCAAAAGCATTGTTGTCGATGCTTGGAAATATGTCTGATCAATTGGTGAAAAAACTATTGAAATTGGTCCAGGGGCAGCTGAGTTATTAACGTTCGAAATCTTTCATAATTTCGTTACATGTACCATTTTCGGTTTTCCCAAAGTGTACTCCCATACAAAAATCACAAACGTAGTCATCCCAGCCCAGAACGCGCTGCCTGCTGCCTCAAGGAAGCCCCTGAGCCAGTCAACCCATCGTAGTCGTTCTGGCCCTGTGGTTGAGAATGGTGAAGGGGTCTTCCAACCTTCTACATCAGGCAAGTATGCGTTTGTTGAAAACAGTTCTTCTCCTGATCCGTCTCTGTGTTCCAGAGTACCACCATGCTCGTTTCGGCTGATCGATCATTCTGCAGACCTCCAACCGACTTCGTTCGACCGTCTGTTGGTGTATTACCAGAACGTTCGTGGCCTGCGAACAAAGATTGATGATTTTTTCCTAATTGCCGTTCACACTGACTACGATGTCATAGTTCTTACGGAAACCTGGCTCGATGACCGCATTAATTCATCTCAATTATTTGGCAGTCTATTCACGGTATTTCGAAACGACCGCAACCACCAGAATAGTACCAAATCGCTCCTGCATCGATCCTGCTCCAGTTTGCACTTCTCTAGAGCAGCTGTGGGTCAAGATAACGACGCCTCGTAGATCAATAAGTATTGGCGCTATGTATCTACTTCCAGACCGGAAATCTGATTCGAGCAGCATTGCAAACACATCAGTTCGATTGGTACCGTGTCCTCTCGACTAGAACAAAACGTCCTAGCTCTGGTATTTGGTGACTAGAATCAGTCTGGGCTCTCATGGAACGTTCCTGCAAACGATCTTCCTAGCATTGATGTTCTTCGCTCGAACATGCCCGCATCCTGCTGTGCTCTCCTTGATGGTTTCAACCTGCATGGCTTAACGCAAATCATCTCGATACTGAATAGCAACTCTCGGCTGCTTGATCTCGTTCTGGCGAACGAAGCTGCAGGACAGGAATATTCTATCCAAGAAGCCCCACAGCCTTTGATTGCCATCGACACCAATCATCCTGCGTTGTAAGTTTTCATCAACCTATCTGTTACTGCATTCAACTATACGATAAATCACCAACTTCTGCAACGTGTGGACAATGCTCGTGACCTAGGAATCACGCTAGACTGCGCCTTAACATTTAAGCTTCATTACTCGGGCATCGTTGCGAAAGCTAACAGGCAACTCGGGTTCATCTTCAAGATCGCTGACGAGTTTCGCGATCCTGCCTGTCTAAAAGCTCTATACTGCTCTCTAGTGCGATCGATCTTGGAATTCAGCTCGGTAGTATGGTGCCCGTATCAAGCAGTTTGGATAGCGAGGATTGAATCTGTTCAAAGGAAATTTGTTCGGTATGCCTTTCGTCACCTTCCTTGGAATGACCCTGTGAACCTTCCGCCGTACGAAGATCGTTGTCAACTCCTGGGTCTTGAAACACTAGAACATAGGCGGACGATTAGTCAGGCCGTGTTCGCAGCGAAAGTACTTGTTGGTGATATCGACTCTCCTGGTATCTTGGCTGAATTCGAAATCTACGCACCCGAACGAGTTCTTTGGTCGAGGACTTTCCTGCATCTTGGACCTCGTGCTGCGAACTACAGCTTGCATGACCCAATACGGTTCATGTCTGGGCGTTTCAACGAGTTTTACGAGTTTTTCGACTTTAACTGTGCAGCGGAAACCTTTCGTCACTGTATTCAACGCAGACTCCTGAGAAGGACGTTGACTTCTACCTGATTCACAGACAACTCTATGCCATAGGAGGATAACTTTTTTTATGCTGTAGACTTGATTAATGTTCGTTGTAATTGTATTGTATTATTGTGATTCATGTATTTCGAAAAGATATGGGGTTTTTACGCCTTTTCTAGGCTTTTCCCCATCAGGCCTCATTTAGACACGTTAAGTCCGATGAAGAAAACCAAATTTAATAAATACGTCAAAACATTTGAACTGTCAAATTAACCGGGTTGCCAGGCATGTTGTTATTCACAAGCAAGCAAAGTTAGTCTGGTGACTGGCACTC